GGGCGACGTATGGCGTTCCTGCCTTCCCCTGTAGCGACTCGGACGGCGTTCGCGACGGTACCGGCGTTCGTCGTAAAAACAGTGCGTGTGCCGCCGGGGGCACAAATGCTGGTACCTCTTAAACTTCGTAGGCCCTTCGCTAAGGGTGTTGGGGATCAGGGTGTTGTGCTGGGGCCGTCTAGGGCCGGGGTTAATGGGCCTCATTTAATTCCGGCCCAGACCATCGTAAGGGGGGACGAGGACCCCTTCATCGCGGTCCTCAATGTCGGGTCGCAGACAGTAGTGGTTCCCCAAGGGACTGTGCTCGCTCACGCGACGCCGGTGCCCTGCGAGGAACCTGCCGTGAACCACATTGACACTGCTGCTCGGACGCACCCGCATTCGGACGGCGATGAAGGGTGGCTCGACGCGCTTTGTGCGGGATCGACGAACCTGTCCAATTTAGAGCGCCAACGGCTTAGATCACTGCTAAAGGAATTTTCCGACGTTTTCAGTCGGAATAAATACGATTTGGGTTGTACTCACCTGCTGCGTCACCATATTGACACGGGTGACAGCGCGCCTATTCGCCAAAATCCTTTTCGGTTGAGTCCCGCCGAAAAGGACCATGTCAAATCGGCTGTCGATGACATGTTAGCCGCCGACATTATCTCTCCCTCTACCAGCCCTTGGGGAGCACCGATTGTCCTGGTTAAAAAACAGGATGGCTCGTTGCGGTTTTGCGTAGATTTCCGTCGCCTTAATAAGGTTTCGGTTGCCGACGCATACCCGCTCCCACGGATGGACGAATCGCTGGACGCCTTGGCGGGAGCGCGATTCTTCTCCACACTAGATTTACTTTCGGGATTCTGGCAGCTTCCTCTGGACGATGATTCGAAGCCTAAAACCGCTTTCCGTACACCGCACGGCCTGTTCCAATTCAACCGGTTACCGATGGGCTTACACTCAGCGCCGGCAACCTTCCAGCGGTTGATGGAATTGGTTTTGGCTGGATTGCAATGGGAATCGTGCCTGATTTATTTGGATGACGTAATTGTTTTTGGAAGAACCTTTGACGAACATCTCCAGAGGCTGCGGGCGGTTTTCCAAAGGATGCGGGCTGCTAATTTGAAATTTAAGCCCCAAAAATGCTATTTGTTTCGCGAGTCAGTGCGTTATTTGGGGCACATCGTGGGGCGCTCGGGTATTGCTACCGATCCCGCCAAAACGCAGTGTGTCAGCTCCTGGCCAATTCCGACCTCGGTGGGGGAGGTGAGGAGTTTTATTGGCTTCGCTTCATATTACCGACGGTTCGTCGCTAATTTTGCTACAATTGCCAAACCCCTACATGCTTTGACATCAAAAGGGGTTCGGTTCCACTGGGGTCGGGATGAGGAAGTAGCTTTCTGCTCCCTTCGGGATGCATTGGTGAAGGCTCCTCCTTTGACTTACCCCGATTTTTCGAGGCCATTTTTGCTCGACACCGACGCGAGCAACACAGGTATCGGAGGCGTGCTTTCCCAGGTGGTTGATGGCGTGGAACGGGTGGTTGCGTACGGCAGTCGGGTGTTGTCTCCAGCGGAGCAAAAATATTGTGTCACCCGTAGAGAACTGTTGGCAATTGTTTTCTTCATCCAACAGTACCGCCCATATCTGTACGGTCAGCATTTCACTGTCCGTACGGATCATGCAGCACTGCAGTACGCCCTGAAGGTTCAACAGCCATCGGGACAATTGTCCCGATGGCTGGAGGTCCTCCAGGATTTCGATTTTGACACCACCTATCGTAAGGGCATTCGCCACACAAATGCGGACGCTCTGTCGCGCATGCCAACCACCTCCGAATGCGCATGCCTCCTGGGGTCGGGGCGTTGCAAGCCAGCTGGGGACATGACGGTTCCAGTCCTGGCGGCCGCCGCCGATGTTGACACATCGCTCCCCGATGAGATCGGGAAACAGGGAAGGGATTCCCTGCTTGGGTTGCCTGTGATTGAGTGGGGACGCCTCCAGATGGAGGACGCCTCCCTCCTCGCGCTGCGTCGTCGCGCCAGGGAGAGGGGGTGTGGGACGGGTGATGCCGACAATTGGGAAATACACGCGGGCTTGCTCATGCATTGGGACGGTAAATCCCACCGTCACCGGCTGGTAGTTCCTGCGGGGTTACGGGGTAAGGTGGTGTGGGCTGCTCATGAGCGCCTCCTCCACCTGGGTACCCAAAAGACCCTCGCCTCGCTCCAGCTGGATTTTTTTTGGCCGGGCATGACACGGGATGTCACGGATCTGCTGGCAGCATGCCCCCGGTGTGCGCAACGCAAACCACCAGCTCGGGAGTCGAACCCGCCGTTGCAGTCCATCACAGTCTCCAGGGTGAACGAACTCGTAGCGTTGGATATCCTGGGGCCGTTTCCCGCCACCCCTAGGGGCAATAGATATTTGCTAACAGGGGTCGAATACTTCACACGCTGGCCTATGGCCTGGCCCCTGGCAAATCAGTCGGCAGCAGCCATCGTGGACGCCTTTGTCCAAGGCTACGTCATGGACAAAGGTGCTCCGGAGCGGCTGCTGACCGACCAGGGTAAAAATTTTTCTGGGAACCTCCTCAAACAAGTCTGTGATCTCCTAGGTACAAAGAAGATTCGTACCTCTCCCTATCACCCACAAACTGACGGGATGGTCGAGCGTCTGCATCGTACCATCACGTCTATGTTGTCGCACCTGGTTTCGGAGTCACAGACCAATTGGGACTTGCAAATTCAAGGGGTCCTGGCAGCATATCGATTGGCCCCCCATGCTGCCACGGGATTTTCACCCTTCTTTCTCATGTATGGTCGCGAACATGACCCACCTGTTCGGGCACAGCTGCAGATCCCCGCGCCTCTAGGTAAAATAAAATTGGACGAGCACGTTAAATTTAACCTTCAAAAGCTAACTGAGGCGCGGGATGCTGCCATGCTCAATTCCCGCATGCGCCAAAAGGCGAATGAGCGCCTCAGACTCGCGCGCGCGCACGTGCTGCAGTGGAAGCCAGGGGACAGGGCATGGCTGCACTGTCCCCAGGTACCGCTTGCGACCTCCTCGAAACTGGTACGGCCATGGCGGGGCCCCGTCGAGGTGGTCGAGGTTTTGCGACCGCAGTGCGTTCGTATCAAGTGGGGGAGGCGCCGGTGGTTCGTTCACCCCTCTAGACTAAAACCCTTCGTTGCGGTGCGGGACTCTGCTCCACACGCGCAGGGCCAAGCATGTGAGGGGTCGACCGACCCGGAGGGTCCGCCTCTGTTGATCTCACCTGACGTCTTGCCGGTTGCCCCGCCCCCAGGTTCTCCCGGAATGACGGGCTCGCGCACATCCCTCACGGGGGATGCCGAGGGTCCCGCCACTCCAATTGCGGACTCGCCTCGGATGGGACAGCGGCCACCGAATGGTCCGCCATCTGAGGTTGGCCCTTGTGACGGGCCTGCGGCAAGGACGCGCGCTAAAATGCGCAGACTCTTATAAAAACACTGGAACGCGAACAAGAAGTGAAAACGAAACGAAAATAAGAAGAAAATTTTTTTTATTTTTTTTGCGTTTTCTGGTACACTTTCGTGTGCTATTGTTACTGGACGCTGCGTTCGTGTGGCGCTCTTGGCGCGTTGTTGTATTATGGCTGTGTGTGTGTGTGCGTCTTGTGTGCGTGTTGTGTGTGCGCTGAGGGTTCCGGGAAATGTACATATCTTGCCTCTACGGATTTCGTATTTATTCGGGGGGGGGGGCGCGTCGGTTTGTTCTCCCTTTAGGGGCATTGTTAGTGTTGTTGTTCAATTCTCGTTCTGTTAAATGAAAAAATGGGGCACACACGGGGGGAGTCAAGGGGTAAAGATTCATTTGTTGAAATTGTTGCAGCCGGGACGGCTGCGAGCTATGCGGGGGGGAGTGATGTAGGGATGTTGGAGAGAGGGCCGTTATGCATGGCAGCCTATGGGAAAGAAACACAGGGGGGGGCTGGTTCGGCGTTACGATCCCCCGGGGCCCCACCCCTCAAGGAGGGTTGGGTATAAAAAGGGGTCGTTATATGGGCTTAGTCAGTTATGTTATAGTTAAGCTAAGAAGTCGGAAGACGTCGTAGCTAGAGCCCTGGACTCCCCCTGATCGCCGCCCTTATCAGGGCCCCACGGGATCAGGCTCGAGCCAGTGGCGTGGTCCCGTGAACCAGAGCCAGTGCTCTGGGACTCCGGGTACCGAGCCCGATTACCAGTGTCGGGCCAGACAGCCTCCCCTAGCTCTTAGTGGAGGACTCAGGGGATAGGCTATGGATAGCTAGGGGTATTCCCTGAGTTATACGGGTGAGGGGGCCGCTACCCCCTCTAGTGCTGTCCTGTACTGGCAACTTGTTAAATAAATATACGTGTGCCTCAACTCCGTTGTCAAGCGTCCTCGACGGGTACTTCACTTGTGATGATGGTGATGTGGGTGATGATGGTGCTGATGGTGATGTTGCTTGTGATGATGGTGATGATGGTGATGTGGGTGATGATGGTGATGATGGTGCTGTGATGTTGCTTGTGACGATGATGATGTGGGTGATGATGGTGATGATGGCGATGTTGCTTGTGACGATGGTGATGTGGGTGATGATGGTGATTATGGTGATGATGGTGATGTTGCTTGTGATGATGGTGATGATGGTGCCGATGGCGATGTTGCTTGTGATGATGGTGATGATGGCGATGTTACTTGTGATGATGGTGATGTGGGTGACGATGGTGATGATGGCGATGTTGCTTGTGATGATGTGGGTGATGATGGTGATGATGGTGATGCTGGTGCTGATGGTGATGATGGTGCTGATGGCGATGTTGCTTGTGATGTGGGTAATGATGGTGATGGTGCTGATGGTGCTGACGGCGATGTTGCTTGTGATGATGTGGGTGATGATGGTGATGATGGTGATGCTGGTGCTGATGGTGATGTGATGGTGCTGATGGCGATGTTGCTTGTGACGATGGTGATGATGATGATCAGAGGGAAGCACCACGCCCTACCGTGGCCCCCATCTTCTCACGCGTTTCCTCCATCTCATATCCGCATTCCTCCCCCCCCTTTTGTAGAAACCCTGCCCCCCCCCCAAGATCAAGGCCTCGGGCGCCCCCCCCCTCCACAAGGCGACCCCCCCCCCCATCTGCCTCCCAACCCCAGTGGCACTCACTCAGCTGACCGACGACGCACACAGCGGCGTAGCGAGGCAATTACCATCATCACCATCATCACGTCCTCCATGATCGTCGTCATCATCACCTCCATCATCGTCGTCGTCGTCGTCATCACCTCCATAATCATCATCATCGTCGTTGTCATCATCAGCCTCCATCATCATCGTCGTCGTCGTCATCTTCATCACCTCCTCCATCATCATCGTCGTCGTCGTCATCATCGTCGTTGTAGTCGTCGTCATCATCGTCGTCGTCGTCGTCGTCGTCGTCATCGTCACCTCCATCATCATCACCTCCATCATCATCACCTCCATCATCATCACCTCCATCATCGTCGTCGTCGTCATCGTCATCGTCGTCGTCATCATCATCGTCATCATCATCATCGTCGTCGTCATCATCATCGTCGTCGTTGTCGTCATCATTACCATCACCTCTATCATCGTCGTCATCAGAACCATCACAACCATCGTTCATCAGCAGAACGACCACCATCACCACCTCCATCGTCAGCTTCACTACCCAAATCATCACCATCAACACCATCACCATCAACACCATCATCATCAACACCATCATCAACCGGGCTGACCGTGGGCATTTGTGAAAAAATAAAAAAATATCTTCGTAGGTCATGAGATTTCTGAATAAAAATTCAGAATTTTTTTTTTGGTCGTGGTTTGGGGGGGGGGGAGTCAGAGTTTGGGGTCGTGGTTTGGGGTCGTGGTTTGGGGTCGTGGTTTGGGGTCGTGGTTTGGGGTCGTGGTTTGGGGTCGTGGTTTGGGGTCGTGGTTTGGGGTCGTGGTTTGGGGTCGTGGTTTGGGGTCGTGGTTTGGGGTCGTGGTTTGGGGTCGTGGTTTGGGGTCAGGGTTTGGGGTCAGGGTTTGGGGTCAGGGTTTGGGGTCAGGGTTTGGGGTCAGGGTTTGGGGTCAGGGTTTGGGGTCAGGGTTTGGGGTCAGGGTTTGGGGTCAGGGTTTGGGGTCAGGGTTTGGGGTCAGGGTTTGGGGTCAGGGTTTGGGGTCAGGGTTTGGGGTCAGGGTTTGGGGTCAGGGTTTGGGGTCAGGGTTTGGGGTCAGGGTTTGGGGTCAGGGTTTGGGGTCAGGGTTTGGGGTCGTGGTTTGGGGTCGTGGTTTGGGGTCGTGGTTTGGGGTCAGGGTTTGGGGTCAGGGTTTGGGGTCAGGGTTTGGGGTCAGGGTTTGGGGTCAGGGTTTGGGGTCAGGGTTTGGGGTCAGGGTTTGGGGCTACGATTAGGGTCAGGGCTTGGGGTCAGGGTTTGGGGTCAGGGTTTGGGGTCAGGGTTTGGGGCTACGATTAGGGTCAGGGCTTGGGGTCATGGTTTGGGGTCAGGGTCAAGGGTCAGGGTCAATCGCTGGAATGAGGCTTGTCGAGGCGGCCACTGCCCCCTGATCCCGAGTTATTGCCCGAAGTGAGGCGAGGCCGAAGATTCCGGGGTGGAAGTTGGACCCGACACGGGTTCAAACTCCACAGGTTTACAGCCTGGGCTGTGACTCTCTCATCTCATCTCTCTCCCTTACAACCCCCCCTCCTCGTCTCTCTCCCTTACACCTTCCACCCTGTCATCCACTCCCCCGTATCACGCCCCCCTGCCCCCCTGCCCCCCTGCCCCCCTGCCCCCCTGCCCCCCTGCCCCCCTGCCCCCCTGCCCCCCTGCCCCCCTCTCCCCTGCCCCCCTCTCCCCTGCCCCCCTCTCCCCTGCCCCCCTCTCCCCTGCCCCCCTCTCCCCTGCCCCCCTCTCCCCTGCCCCCCTCTCCCCTGCCCCCCTCTCCCCTGCCCCCCTCTCCCCTGCCCCCCTCTCCCCTGCCCCCCTCTCCCCTGCCCCCCTCCCCCCTGCCCCCCTCCCCCCTGCCCCCCTCCCCCCTGCCCCCCTCTCCCCTGCCCCCTCCCCCCTGCCCCCGCCCCCCTGCCCCCCTCCCCCCGCCCCCCTCCCCCCTGCCCCTCTCTCCCCTGCCCCTCTCTCCCCTGCCCCCCTCTCCCCTATCTCTCCCCTGCCCCCCTCTCCCCTGCCCCCCTCTCCCCTGCCCCCCTCTCCCCTGCGCCTCTCTCCCCTGCCCCTCTCTCCCCTGCCCCTCTCTCCCCTGCCCCTCTCTCCCCTGCCCCCCTCTCCCCTGCCCCTCTCTCCCCTATCTCTCCCCTGCCCCCCTCTCCCCTGCCCCCCTCTCCCCTGCCCCTCTCTCCCCTGCCCCTCTCTCCCCTGCCCCCCTCTCCCCTGCCCCTCTCTCCCCTGCCCCTCTCTCCCCTGCCCCCCTCTCCCCTGCCCCTCTCTCCCCTGTCCCTCTCTCCCCTATCTCTCCCCTGCACCTCTCCCCCTGCCCCTCTCCCCCCTGCCCCCCTCTCCCCTGCCCCTCTGTCCCCTATCTCTCCCCTGCCCCCCTCTCCCCTGTCCCTCTCTCCCCTATCTCTCCCCTGCCCCCCTCTCCCCTGTCCCTCTCTCCCCTATCTCTCCCCTGCCCCCCTCTCCCCTGTCCCTCTCTCCCCTATCTCTCCCCTGCCCCCCTCTCCCCTGTCCCTCTCTCCCCTATCTCTCCCCTGCCCCCCTCTCCCCTGTCCCTCTCTCCCCTATCTCTCCCCTGCCCCCCTCTCCCCTGTCCCTCTCTCCCCTATCTCTCCCCTGCCCCCCTCTCCCCTGTCCCTCTCTCCCCTATCTCTCCCCTGCCCCCCTCTCCCCTGTCCCTCTCTCCCCTATCTCTCCCCTGCCCCCCTCTCCCCTGTCCCTCTCTCCCCTATCTCTCCCCTGCCCCCCTCTCCCCTGTCCCTCTCTCCCCTATCTCTCCCCTGCCCCCCTCTCCCCTGTCCCTCTCTCCCCTATCTCTCCCCTGCCCCCCTCTCCCCTGTCCCTCTCTCCCCTATCTCTCCCCTGCCCCCCTCTCCCCTGTCCCTCTCTCCCCTATCTCTCCCCTGCACTTCTCCCCCTGCCCCTGTCCGTCACTCTCCTCTCGCTCTCTCCCCGTCCCTCCGTCCTCCCCTCGTTGCTCAATCCCCGCGGCCTCGCCCACGACCACCACCACCACCATCTCTCCCCCTCCAGCTCCCCCCACAATCCGACACATCACAAAACGTCGCTTAACGCAACATAAACAAAAAAGTTACACGAGACCATTTTGCCATCTCTCTCCCTCTGACAACCTTGCAATTGGTGCCGTTTGTTGCTGGCCGCTCGACGTTTGTGCAAACCACAACGCAAAACACAGCGAAGCCAAAGACAAAGATCCCCCGTGTAGCCTGTAACAGGCTGTCGGGGCAAGTGCTGTTGGTAGCAGCAGCAGCAGCGCCTATGAAGGCTTCCCGTACTAGGGGGGTGTGGGGTGGTGGGTGGAGTGCAACCACGCCCGACCGCCTTTGTCTCCCCTGCCCTGCCCCCCCCCCCCGTGGCGATGTTTACTACAACACGGCTACACCAGGTTACTCATTCGAGGCCGAGTCTACCTAGTGGGGAGGAGGAGGCCCCAGGACCGGTTCGGATTCATCGCCACGGGCGGTTGTTGTTGGTGATGGCGGCGGCGCGGTGCTAACCATTGCGCCACCGCTCCCCAACAACAACCACCACCACCAACTAACCACAACCACCGCCATTCGCCAATAAGTGGTGGTGGCGTCACCACGGCGCTCGTGCCAGGCTACGTGCACGTTAAGGACAACCACCCATCAACAACCACCACCACCCACCACCACCCACCCACCAATCACCAACAACTACCACCGCCACTACCACGGCGCTCGTGCCAGGCTACGTGCATATTAAGGCCAACCACCCAACAACAACCACCACCACCCACCCACCCAACAACCAACAACAACCACCAACAACACACGCCACCGTCGACAAGACAAAACGGGTTTCGCCAGCTCCTTACCGGAGGATGGATGGATGGGTCGGTGGGTGGATGGGTCGGTGGGTGGATGGGTCGGTGGGTAGGAGGGTGGATGGATGGGTCGGTGGGTGGATGGGTCGGTGGGTAGGAGGGTGGGTGGATGGGTCGGTGGGTGGATGGGTCGGTGGGTAGGAGGGTGGATGGATGGGTCGGTGGGTGGATGGGTCGGTGGGTAGGAGGGTGGGTGGATGGGTCGGTGGGTGGATGGGTCGGTGGGTAGGAGGGTGGATGGATGGGTCGGTGGGTGGATGGGTCGGTGGGTAGGAGGGTGGATGGATGGGTCGGTGGGTGGATGGGTCGGTGGGTAGGAGGGTGGATGGATGGGTCGGTGGGTGGATGGGTCGGTGGGTAGGAGGGTGGATGGATGGGTCGGTGGGTGGATGGGTCGGTGGGTAGGAGGGTGGATGGATGGGTCGGTGGGTGGATGGGTCGGTGGGTAGGAGGGTGGATGGATGGGTCGGTGGGTGCATGGGTCGGTGGGTAGGAGGGTGGGTGGATGGGTCGGTGGGTGGATGGGTCGGTGGGTAGGAGGGTGGATGGATGGGTCGGTGGGTGGATGGGTCGGTGGGTAGGAGGGTGGGTGGATGGGTCGGTGGGTGGATGGGTCGGTGGGTAGGAGGGTGGATGGATGAGTCGGTGGGTGGATGGGTCGGTGGGTAGGAGGGTGGATGGATGGGTCGGTGGGTGGATGGGTCGGTGGGTAGGAGGGTGGATGGATGGGTCGGTGGGTGCATGGGTCGGTGGGTGGATGGGTCGGTGTGTGGGTGGATGGATGGGTGGATGGGTCGGTGGGTGGGTGGATGATCAAGCACAAACCAACACAAGCGCGGCCGCCTTTGTCTCCCTTAGTGTCGACACGGAAACACGCTGCACCCCAAAGGTACCGCCACCACCACGACCCCCGCTTCGCGAAGAAGCCCCGCTCACCTCTTCACTTGGGTTGTCTCTGGGGTCTCCGCTGGGGTCTCACCGAGG